CCTCTCGACTTAAATGTCATTATTATCTCTAGTATACATCCACTTAATGTGGTGCTCGATTTCTTTTTTTTTTTTTTATGTTTTAAGAGCTCATCTCGTAACGCCATTTATTTTCTTTGAAAACGCCGATTATAACTTGTATTATCGTTGTAAACTTGTTATAGTCAATCCATTAATCGCGTTCCAACAATTTTCTCGGGAGGATTTTAAATGATTTTGATTTTTTTTTTTTTTCGAAACATCCAAAAACCATAATGGAGTTTGGTTCCGATATATCATATTTTTTTTTTTTACAAATCCCATATTCACGCGTTTAAAAATTATTTTGGCCTAGCAAAATGCCTAGAAAATTTTATATTCTTTTGCATTTGTCCTGTTCATAAATAGATAACGGCTGAAGGGTCATCTAGTGGTATGCGGATGAGTAGCCCGATGGCTGCTGCCACGGCCATATCACCTCACCCGTTTTTACCTTCCAGTAGCAATGCGCCTCAAATAAAACAAGAACAGATACCACCGCTCACACAAACCGAAGCAGTTGTAGACCTCAAACCAGACATTATGTAAGTTTCGTGTGTATAGCTCGTTTATATTATTTTGATATTTGTGCATGTCTCATTATAACCTGTACTATCTATTAAGTTTACTTAATTTTGTCGGCTTAAATTGTAAATCGTGTTTTTCCTTTAGTAGCGAAGTATCGCCTGTCAAAGATCCAGAATTGTGTTCGCCGAACAAAGAGGAGGACACAGTAAAAGATGACGAAGAAGAATTCTGGATGAATACGTGCAATTCGTTTGTTGTGCAGTTGGCCGAAACTCAGGAAAACAAAGAAGTCTGCAAAACGCCGGTTAAGAGGAAATCGCCGAAAGATCAACAACCCCAAGTGCCTAAGAGGAAGTACACGAAACGAATAAAAATAGAACCAGTTCCCGAAGCTGAACAAGATAAATTGCCAAAATTAAAAGAAAACGTAATAAAACCAGCGGATGAGATTAAGTTGGAAGTGTCGCCTCTTCAAGAAAATGTAGTTACCGATGAAAAGTTAGTTAAATCGGAAACGTTAGATACAGACAAAGAAAATAAATCGAAACAAGTAGACCAAGAAAAATCAGTGGACAGTATTAAAAAAAAAGAAGACGAAGATGTAGAACCGGATAAATTAAAACCGAAAAGAAAACGACTGTTTAAGTTGAAGTTTCAGAAACCGTTAATCACAAAAGTGAAGAAATTAAAGAAAGAAAATAAAAAAGAACTGAAAGTAAAAAAAGAAGCGAAAAAGGAAGAAAAGAAAGAAATTAAAAAAGGCGAAAAGAAAGACTCGGTTAAAAAAGAACAATTGTTGCAAAAGAAAGAAGCCGCGGTGAAAGAAGAGAAAAAATTAATTAAAAAGGAAGATAAACGCGAACTCAAAAAAAATCAACAAGACAACAACAAAAAAGATCTCAGCAAAAAAGAGGGTAAAAAATCTGAAACAACCCGAAAGAAGGTTGCAGCAGAGAAAGAGAACGTAACAAGAATCACCGAAAACATGACGAAAAGATCAGCAGCTATCGCTGAAGCAATTGCAAAGGTCAACCCCAGGCAGTCGTTGAGGCGGAAAAATTCGTTGAAAGATTACACGTTCGCATTCGACGAATTGCTGGATGATGCTTTCGCCCAATTTGAAACTGAGAAGATTCCTGTGAAGAGAAGACGAAAGTGCGCCTCGCCTTCTTCAAGTACGACGTCGGCAGTAGCGGCGCCCGCGGCCACTGTCATCAAGAAATCCAAAGATAAAGACAGCGAAACGATTCGAATGAGACTGAGATCTCGGACCAGGCCGTTATCGGCCAAGCTGCAGGAACCACAGCAGGTCTCAAAGAAAAAGAAAAAGGTAATTGCAAAAAACATTCCAAAGAGACGGCGGAAAAAATCGCTGGGTGAAAAGTCCGCGCACGCAGACTCAGCGGACACCAAAGCGACAACGGAAAATTGGAAGGACGAGCTGTACAAGTTCAAGCGGTCGTTGCGTCTGCCTTCCAAACTGATATCGGTGGTGTCGCCGCCCACCGCCGGCGCTGTAGCCCCTGATCAGGTGTCGCTGACATCGATAATGAACATTCCTCAGCCCAAGCCGGCGAAAGAACCCAAAGTGCCAAAGTCGGTGTCTCAGTCGCAGGTGGTCATCGCCGGGGTTGCCGGCAAGAACAAGGCGAAACGGATGGGCCATTTGTTCGGGCGCCGGGACGTGTTCAAGGGAAGGCGTCTGATGAAACGCGAGAAAATCGTTTCCGCGGAGAAACTGTTGCAACGGAACCAGCGCAAGAAACGACAACAGGAAGACGAGGAGAAAAAAGGCAGCGCCGGCGAAGATGCCTCCGCGGCGCTCCTTGACGACGAGGACGTTCTCGCCGAAGAAGACGTCGACGACGACCTGGGCGAAAAGCCGCCGGCGCGCATCCTGTTCAAAAGGAAGTTTATGCGCAAGAAATTCCGGTCGGGGTTTGACTACATTAAAAAGAAGAAGAAGAACCAGCCGCCGCCGGAGAAGAAAACATGCGCCGCGGCGGTGGCCGCCACCAATCTACCGCCGCCCAAATACGTTCCGCGTTACGTATCCGAAATCCAAGCCGAAATCAAAGGATGGATAGTAAACAAGGGACACGGCGAGACGATACTGCACCGGGCCGCCAGAACCGGAGCAAAAGTAAGTTCGTTACGTTTGCATACATAATGGGGGGTTGATTTTGATGGGGTTTCTTTTTTTAATCAAACCGTTGGCGGTTGACAATGTGTCCGTGTACGAAAATAATAGCGAAATATTTTCATTTTTTTTTTTTCTTATCAAGACACCGTGTTTCAATTCGACTAATTTTAACCGCTAATAACCCGTTGAGACATGGAAATATTGAACCGTTCTAACATCCCTAAAAAAAAAAAAAAAAACGTTATTCGTAAAGTGTGTATAATATAGCTGGTCCATTTGCCATAATATCACCCGCGAGACAGCGGAGAAAACCATATTATTATGTTAGCGACGAATTCTCCCCCCTCTTAATGAATAACATTTGAACGAACGAAAATAAATTAACAGGTTTTAGTAAAAAAAAAAATGCGTACCTCGCGAGAAATCTTATCAAAAACGTTTCCCCCCCAATTCTTTATTTCGGAAAATTACTATGTCTGTGCACAATAGGTAATATTACAATAACCGATGAGACACAAACACGTCATGAAAGCAAGTCCGATTGTTAGGAGACACCGGTTGAATTACAACTATTATTAGGCGTTTAAGTCGCGGCATTATAATTCCGTTTGTGACTTCAGTCGAGTTTCCGAGTATATAGGGTGTTAAAGACTAAATCGCTGATGAGCTGGTCGGAATTTGATTCGAGTTTTGCGTAGAATCGTTCGTACAGTATCGAGTATCAGAGTTTCGTCGGTTAAATAGATTTGGAGGTCAAATTTTAATGAACTGTTCAAGACGTACCGGCATGTGATCCGTGCGGTTTAACGAAGGTGGATATTTTGGAATGCTTTGGAACGGTCCCTCTTATTAGAGCTATTCTATAACAGTGTTTCTCAGCGGTGGGGAAAATTCCACCCTAGGCAGGAATTTAGGTAGTGCGTGGGAGGGTAATATAGCGATAGTGAAATTATTAGAATAAAATATATGAAACGTGCAAATTTACCATGTCTAAAATTAAGAATTAATTTATTTCATATTTTTAATTAATAAAAGGAGACATGAGAATATTGAAAATCTGCAAGAAGGGTGTAGAATTAAAAAAAAAAAAAAAAAAAATGAAAAACACTGTTTTACTAAGTTCGATTACGATTAGCACTTATCAGAGTTCAACGAATGTACAACAGATAATATTATAGAAATCTGAAAACCGCCGGGACCGTGTCGAGAGAGGAGAGGTAATGAAAACGGGACGCTAAAGCTTTTAAAATAAAAGGGTGCCCGGTTCGATATACAACTCGAAATCAAATTAACAATATCGTTATTTGTTTGTCGTTTTATTTTCAAACGTTTCGCGTGTTTGTAGTAACGCATATAGTGTACGAGGAACAAATTCAGGACCAAGGAAAAAATCTGTATTTATTCGACGGCGATAAAATGTTGAAATTTTATACAAATTTAATGAAGAAAAAAAAACCGACAAATTCGATTCGGGCGGGATTCACCCCCTGTACACGGTTTTACCTCCCCACCCCCTCTAAATAACACTGATAATAATACTGTGGCTTGGTGCGAGAATAAGGGCCGAAATGTCACGTTTTGTAATAATTGTCGGGAAATGCAGAGCTTTGAGAGCAATTCCCCATTAGGCTCTGTGTATTTTATATGAAATGCAAATGTTCGTGTCGTTTTTAAACTATTCGCACGCAACTTAAACAATTTGTTTATTTAGAAAATTGCGCGCTTTTTTTTTTTTTCAAAAAATTTACATTTCGTCGCCCTTCTCGCGCCGAGCCGGAGCTCGCGTCTCTTCCGTCGTCCCGGCGACTTCAACCGCGCGCGCAATAACGTTTTACGTTGTGCCGTACGTACCCCGCGCGAGAATCTTACCGGTCCGCCAATTCGACGACTCGCGTTTTGTTGTTTGTTGTTTTTTGTTCCCCCCTCACCCGCGTGCGTGCGCGCGCGCGCTCTATAAATCAAATTTCCACGTTATTGTTATTGCTCGCTACCCGCGGGTGTACGCGCGTCCGGCGGATTTATTTATCGCGCGTTTTCGCGTTTAAATTAGTTTTCCGCATAATAACACCGCGCGCATTGTGTGTGTACACGGACGACACGCGTGGTGTGTCGTCCCGCGCGAACGGGGAACCGGTGCGGGGAGGGGTTCGAATGATTGCGCGCACACACACACCGCGGCGGCGGCGGCGTCGTCGTCGTCGTCGTCGTCGTCGGTCGGTCGGTATATTATCGTAAACGCCGCGGCGTCGGGTGAAAAAATATTGTAAAAAGTTTAAGTACGGCGCGTCGTAATAAAAGAAAAAAAAATACAATAAAAATAATACGCGAATAATAAAATACGATAATAATCATAATACCTAATTGTATGTAATCGGGGCGGTTGTAAATTTCTCGGCGTGATATCCAACGACGACGACGACGTCCGGAACCGTACAATAATAATAATATCGCGCTGTATACAGGACGAACCCGGTCTCTCCGCGGCGATCATCCGGCGAATTTAATATTACCGTATTTTAGATCCCGAGCGTAACGAAGAACGTATCGGTTTTACAAAGACGTTTAATGTGAATTTCTTTTTTTTATGTAAACACTTTTCTACCAGAAACCGTACGCCGATTATCAAATATAGCACCTTTTCTGAATGGAAATGTTCTCTGGGTGGTACTTTGAAGAGGTCATTTTTTAGAAATTCTCAGAAATATTCGAGATAATGAGGAAAATCTGGTTCTTTAGGTCAAACAAAAATTGAAAGATTAAAAATAAGGTTGTCATTGGCAACCGTTTTTATTTAGGAATTTTGTTGTTATTAAGTTTTTATTATTTTGATGTTTTTTTTCAAAACAATCATTGTTGTCATGGAAACGCACATTGTTGCAATCATTTTACCATAATATGAAATCTGTAACACCGCATATCGTTTTGTCGATAATGCAACTCTATCAACTGAACTCCGCTCAGAATCGTCTTTTTCGTTAGCTACGGTTTATCGTTGCTTACAGGCGTACATTACATTCCCTTATGTAAATTCCTATCTTCCCTGCAACTTTTCCAGACCTACAACAGTGCAGGCTGCACCCGTCCCCATTATCCTGTGACGGCTTTATTTTGTTGTTTTCAATCTCTATAGGCGGATACGATTTACGAACGCTGATTTCGACGGTTCTCAGACGGGAACATTCGCTCTGGATTGCCGAACGGAACGGCCCCTTTAAACGGCGATTCGAACGGAGGATATTAGCTGTACCTACGGCTGGTTAGGTTGTTCCGCGGTTTTGTCGGCCGGCCGTGCGAAAATGTACGCACGCCGCCGTGCGTGTCGTTCAAACGCCTAAAAACGAAAGCGCGCATTTCGATCCGCGCGGCCGTGTCGTTCGAGTGAAACGCCCTGTATAATAACGTACAGCGCGCGGATATCGGTTTTGTTTTATTACCGTTCATTTGTACGGGAAAACCGAATCGCGTATAAAACGCGAATCGATCACGCGGGGTCAGCCGCCGCCGCAGCCCCGTCGTCGTGTCCTCGGATAATTTCCTGTCCCCGCGACGAATCGTTTCCCGTCCTCCGCGGAGAAGCTTGTAGGAACGCGGACGATGTTTATGCTTTTCTCTCTCTCTCTCTCTCTCTCTCTCTCTCTTCATAACATTATTTTTTACATAACAATACAACGCGCGTTTATACAGAGTGATATTTCGCGCGTCCATAGACCACCAATGGATTTATTCGATTCATGTAGGCTGCTTAAGTACCTGTGGGTGGTACTGCAGGTCGGCTGTTTTTTTTTTCCAATCTCGCATCGACAGTGTTTCGCGAGTCGCAACAGTGGCGGCGCGAAGTACTTTCACCGTGAATTGCCGATTCGATTTTCCACCCGCCCCGACCAAAAATACGCCAAAGTCTACAAACCGGTGATAAAAACCGAGTTTCCTTGTTGCTCTTTAAAAACATAATAGTTTTCGTTATATTTCTGAAGGCGCCCGCGACCCGTCCACCTGTTCCTTTTGCGAATCACGCGATTCGAATACACTTCCTTCGCGCCGCCACCGCGTCATAATGTAAACTCTAATTTCTTCGGACGAAACGGTTTTTTTGTTGCCCGTGTACTGTTCGTCTAACATAATTTTTCCGAAATCACTGTGCGTATTATTCGATTATCGTAGTACACGTCTCTTCTTCTTTCCGGTCGACCTTATGCTACGGTCGGTTTCGCCGTATGTGATACTCGTTGTCCGCACTTCGTTATTCGCCCTTCGGTGTTCCTTGATCGACGTCGGAAATCATTTGTTCGGCAGAATTAGGTCCTCGGTCCCTATTACCCTATATCCGATTGGATACCCGGGTATCCAATCGTGTTCCAACGTCTTCTTGCTTTGAATTGCGTTGACTGTCGCTCCGTGTTCGCGTATTTCGAGTGTATTTTCGTTGGCGTTCCGTCCAACTCGATCGCAGCATATCCTTCTCCGACACGAGTTTTCGAATCAACCGTTTCGGACTTCGAATTTAGTCGATGTCGGAAAAATATCATACATCTGTATTGTAATTTAAATTTGGAACATTGTACGGAAAACCGGCAGGCGCACCTATACCGAAAACCGCCAACATTATATTTATCGCGGTGAAATGTATTTACTGCGGGAGTGAATCCCGGTAATTCTTTAGACGAACGACCCCGTTAAAGGGATCTGTAATAAAATTATACGGTTGTGAATTTGTAGGTAAGCGCGTTTTTTTTTTTTTAGCTGATTGTAAAATGTAACCGCGTAACAACGAATTCAATTGCGAAACTTTCATTTTACATTTGTTGACGTTTTAAATTGTTTCAGGTCGTTTGTTTTCCTTTTTGAGGTCGTTTTTGCCCCTTTAGTACATTCCGCGCTGTTTTTACACGAATCACATATAAGTTTTGATTTACACAAGTTACGTTGTATGCGTCGTAGTTAATATTCTATATCCCCGGTTTAAAGTATTTCGCACAACCTGCACAATCATACCGGACAATTATCGTAAGTAAAACGTTCGGTTTATCGCGGTCGTCAATTGCCACTTATCCGCAGTGAGTTTTCAGGGATTTAAAATTGATTTTTTGTGGGGTTTTCGTCGTGCGTTTTTAATTCACAGCCCCCCGGTTGTCTCTCGCACTGGGATAAAGGGCTCCGTCCCCAGACCTGCACGATTAAAGATATACTGGTTACACAGCGAGCAATGATAAGACCATGGAAATCCTGGTTCCCGGAGTGTCGTCGTCAGTGTCTTTTTTTCGTATTCGCCCGTAACGCCGGGTGCGCCCCGATCCGGGGCCCCTAGATGTCGCGGGCCCGCGGCCCGTCGCCCGTCATGCCGCCCCTGATCCGATGCGCCGCCGAATATTGTTACGTTACACTATCAAGCCGTCCCCTGCTTGCGCGCACACGCCAATCGCTCACTGCCGCGGTACGTATACGCGCGCGTATTATAATCGGGCCGCGTTATTGTTGCTCGTGTAGTGATATTATGACGGGCACACGCGCGCGCGGGACGTTTATTTGAGGACGATTATTGTTATTGTTATTACGGTGACGTGTAGTGACGGTGTTATTGTTTTGTCGAGTCGCCCGTGTTTTGTGTATTATGTACTGCGGCGAAAACGACCCGCACTCTTTATTATTATTATTTGTTTTTTTTTACCACTACTAACTGTATACATATACACTGTGCACACGCCGCACAAAGTTCGATAAATCCGCCGATGACGTGTACACGGTGCGGCGGCGGCGGCGACGGCGACGCCGCTCCGCGCGTTTGTTCGTGTAATACCCTCGGCCGCCGCTCTGCCCTCTGCCCGCACCGGTGAGTAGTCGCCCCCCACCCGCGTGTCCGTCCCCCGCCGCCGCCGCCGCCGCCGCCGCCGAACAATCCCGAAACGATTTTCACGTGGCACGCCGTTATATAATATTATACACGCGCGCATCTCGCCCGCGTCTGTCCTTGGGACGAGCTGCTCGCGAAAACTTTTCCCCGGGAAAACGTAAGTGTACGGGATATACGCAGTGCGCGGACGGCAATTGGCCGCGGCGGCGCGGCGGTCGTTCGCCCGGTGACGCGTGCCGTTTGTTCCCCGGCGGACGCGCGTTTTCGATTCTGAGGCGCGCGCCGTGTCGGTTTTTATTCGCCGCCGACGCGTGCGCTTGTATGTCGGACGCACAGACACAGAGCTGGGAGCGTACGATTTTTCCGCGCCAAAAGTCCGCGTGCTCCGATCGAAAAAACGACGAGCGCGTTCATAACACGCGTAGCCAGTTTCGGATCGAATTGCCGGCGCGCAGCGGTAGTGGTGGGGGGGGAGGTGGTTTGAACGAATAGGAAAAACGGACGAATGATTAGTAAGTCTCGCGCCATTGTCGATATTGTCATTTCGCTTGCGATTCTGTTCAAAATAATCTTACGAGACTCGGCATTTTTAGAGTATACACTTATATATTGACCGTTTCCAATGGTGTACCGTTATTTTTGAGCTATTCATAGGCATTTGAAATTTTCGAGTTTTCGTAATAGTTTTACGTGGAAAAAATTATTTTGGCAGAGCAGAAACACTTGGCAATTTTACACGAGTTCCGTTTATGATATTTGTTACATACTCGGTGGTAAGAGAAAAATCCGCACGTAATAATTTATTGCGCAGTGGGTTTTTGTGAGCCTGTAAATTCCGTATTTCGACGGAATTCGTTTAACGAAATTACGACGTTTCAATAATACATAAAACCTAACCTTGCCGCGAACTCTGCTCAGAATCGTATTTCTCTATAGCAACGATTTATATCGTCGTCTCGTACGGATATAAATTAAATAACTCCTATTCCCGACGTTCCACAGCGGCACACCCATCAACAGTATCGGCTCGNTTTTTTTTTTTTTTTTTTTTTTTTTTTTTTTTTACGACGTTGCCGCCGTCTTGTTTGTTACAATGCGTATACCTACTCGATAAACTCGGTAATCGGTTTTTAACAACTACCCCACTTGTTGGCCGCCGTGCGCCGTACACTCGACGGATTTATCGCGACGGGAATTCGCATTAGCGCGACACTGCGCGACAAACCGTAATTTCATATTATCACACGACGAATTATTTGTACCGTATTTTTTTTATTTTTTTTTTTTTTTCATAATCATCGTTAATGATTCGTACCGGTATAGTAATAATAAATAAAACAGCGCCGTATACCGTATGACATACCGTGCAGCTGCTGTACAACGCCGCGCATTATTCCGGCGCGATTAGAAAGTTAACGATAACAATAATATTGTAACGCGCGCACGTGTTCGGTCGTTCGCGAATGTAACGTGCGACGACGATACGTGCAGCAGTGGCGCGCGACTGTGTAACGTGGCGGGCAATTCGACGAGGCGACACTTTCGGGCCCTCCGCGAGGGGGTTTCGAAAAACGATCGGACGGACACGTGGCGACGCGATATCGATCGGGCGTTACAGCGGTTTCTACTCGCGTTTCTATTACAGAGAGGTGATGTCCGACGTTCAAATATTTGGCTACCGGTACAAAACCGATAAACGATTTGCCGACGTCCGATCACCGCCCGGGGTTTTTCATACGAGACGACGAGAAATCCCGCCGGCCAGCGGAACGACGGAAACCGTCGGGTCGCACGGGCTCTCTCCCGGCCGTCCACCGCGTGTACAGACTGCATTGAATATTTCGTTTGTTATGGAAAACACGGTGTCGTCGGCGCATAACGGTCGGGCACGCATACAGAATGGAAGTGGGAAGGGGGATAAGGGGGTGGGG